TCTAGTCTTTATGCAGTACGTATGAAATCTGACGAAAACCTATATAAGCGATATAGCTAAATTTGAACCAATTAGGCTGGTCCGTGCCGTATTTCATTCGAATAATAAAATAAATGCGAACTGTGCTCTATTCACAAAAAAAATTGACAGACGGACATGCGTCGGACCAACTGTGGAACTTGAGAACTACAGCTTCGAGGTAGTTAAAGATTTTATGTACCTTGGTGCCGCCATAAATAAAACTAATGACATAAGTTTTGAAATTCGGAGAAGGATAGTGTTGCCCAACAGATGCTACTATGGTTTAAGTAAGCAGTTTAGAAACAATACCACCTCCCACCAGACCACAATCACACTTCACAAGACGCTGTTACTACCCGTACTGTTATATGGATCTGAAGCATGGGTACTTGCGCAAGCAGATGAAGCAGATTTTGGGGTGTTTGAGAGAAAAATTCTGCGAAAGAACTACGGGTGGATCTGCGATATTCACCGTCGAATAAATCAAAAGCTTTACAACCTATACGCGGACATAGTCAGTCGTATTGAGCTGCAGCGACTATGGTGGCTAGGTGATGTTGTGCGAATGAATGAGAATGCCCTAGCTCAAAAGGTATATAAAAGCAAGCCTACTGATGGTTCACGCAGAAGGGGAAGGCAACGACTCATATTGATAGATAAAGTAGAAGACAACATCTCGGAACAGTATAGACGGAAGGGGCCGACCATACGATACCCTACACAACTACCACAGAACTCTAACTCTCTGCGAATGTTTATTCCGAGTCAGGGTAATATTATATTTGCCCGATTAGAGGTCAACAGCACCTCTTCCTTACATTTTCGAATACTCAGTACAGCCCTTCTAATTACTTATCCAGATTCCCTTCAGGGTGGGTTGTTTTGTGATGTTCCGATTATATTCGACTGGAAAACACACAAAAAGTACGTTTTTGGGTCCATTTCATCCCAATACTATTATGTGATAATCACCGAAAATTTTATGCGTTGTCCTTGACCATAATTAGAACTTCATGGAAAATTTCAAAGCGATCAGCGCGATATTTTCGCCCTCTAATGTGGTAATGGGATACTAAATAATATTTGAATATGTAAGCACCTGTAAATATTTGAGTGTAACTCCCAGATCCGAGTAGACACATAACTGTAGTTGGTATACATTTAAAGGCGAACCACTCCTCTTGGATATGCTATCAACTCCTCGGGTCTATATACTTCAGGAGTAAATATATACGCTATAGAATACAAATTTTGTAATTTTTCACACAAAAGTCAGGGTCCATTTGGCCCTCTAAATATTGACCGATCTTTATCAAAACAGCCATGCTTATTATTTTGCCCGACCCCCTTCTCCATGCAAATATTCGCGATGTTCGGGTCATAATTACGGCTTATGGAGCGGCCAGAAAAACCGACAAAAATTAAGTATTTGGTCCATTTCATCCCCTAAATAATAACCGATCTTTATCAAAAACAATAGGGGTCTTCATTGGGCAGAACCCATCCTACATGCAAAATTTCATGAAGATTGGTCCATAAATGTGGCCTGTGTCGTGTTTACAAATTATAATGGGCAGACGGACGGACGGACGGACACACATGTCTAGATCGACTCAGCTAGTCGAGATATGACGATCGGTATACTTAAAGGTGGGTCTATGAACCATATTTCGCGGCGTTACAAACTCTTGGGGCTGCACAAAGCTATAAATCCCTGACAACATAGTTGTGTAGAGTATAAATACCAAAACCGTACATCTATTTATTATTAACTAGAGGTTTCAAACTTGTATTTATTAGCTAGAGATTTCAAACTTTGGAACATTTATTTATTTTGATATTCGATAACTATGTATAGAATCTAGTGATGTACGGTGAGAGCATCATATGGAAAACACGATATCTGATGTGCCCCGATGCCGAAGGCGCCCCAGTGTTTTCCCTAACCTACATAACGGTACCGTCCCATTTTTCGTAACCCAGCATTCCTGTTTAACAGGGGGTGACAACATTTTTGCAGACAAGGTCCTATTTTTGACATTTTCCGTATATAATGTTTCAACCCAATATTCGGTATTTTGAATGTTTAGAATTCTTCTACGCAGCAAATTATAAAAATAGACCGTTTTCACAGCCTTCACATCAAAGTCCAGCCCTACTTTTGTTTTTTTTTTCAAGTTTTAGTCGAACTTCCGTGAAGTGGCTGTAATTTTGCTTGTCTTTGCCAAAGATATTCGATTTGACTTAAAATAGCGCTTATATGAAGAAGAACCTCGCATTTTAAGGTTTTAGCCTCATTTTACCAACGAAGTGCCTGTAATTTGACATGACTAATTGCTAGTGAACAACAAAAACTTCTTCCCAGAAATTATTCAGCATAGGTTTATTTTTAATATGCCCTCCCAAATGTCCCTCATAAATGTCCGTGCAGTGGATTTGGTAGTCCAATTTTCAACCTGATTTTCTATTATTCCTTTTTTTCTTAGGGCATTAACGTCCTACTACCAAAACAGTTTGCACTGAAATATTACCGACAATAGTCACGGCATTAAAAAATAATTAACGTTTACGGTTTTTCTTTTTCGCCTCGCCATACAATTTTAATATTAATTATTATTATTTTTTATTTTAGTTTATAAATCAATGTTGAACGTAACTAAATCGAGAGTAAGTGTGTGAGAGCGTGAGATATTATCATCAAAAATGACTGACCAAAAGAGAAAAAAGAAACTGCGTGTTTTGACATCAACACTATCGTACTATTTTGGGCATTGGTGGTTTAAATGGTCTCAAAACGAATTCTTGATAAAATATCAGATTAAACCCCTCTAACACTACTATGATATAAAGGGTTTTCCTAATATGAGATGTTTCTTCTTCTTATGTGAAATCCATATACTATTAATTAATTAATATTTAAAATTATTATAAGCAAAACTTAGTATTAGAAAGAAATAACACCCCTTCACACATTTAACTAGTCTGTAGACAGCACTTAAACAATAAACATTTGCCAAATAAATATGCAAACATGTTTTTTTTTTTTTAACCCAAAAAATGCCCTGAAAAGTTAACAGAACTAGTGAACAATTTATGACATTTAAAAGTTTGCATTGCGACAATTTAAATTAGTTGAAAAACTAGATATCAGATATCTGTTGAAAAATTAGTGCTAATCCTCATTAATTGTGAATTAATTAAGTTTATGCGCTACTTTCACACTACTTATTCTTCTTTTTCCTACATTTGTTTTGTTTTATAAATTGTATAGAAATGTTAATAATTAATTTTATCGTCTTGTCATATTTATCACAAATTTTGTCTCTTTCAGTGAAATGGACATCATACGTCATGAACAAAATATGGCTACCAAAGATCTTGAGGGTTACCTCAGCAATCCAATAAATGCATATCGTCTGATAAAACGTCTCTTTACCGATTGGCCAACATTTGAGGAGACAATTGCAATGGACACGACACGTCAAGGTATGTATGTAGTATGTTGACATGGACATGCCAGGTAGGCAGTTAGGTTGGTTACTTGTAAACAGAATTTAATGAATATTTTCTTTAAACCACAGCATATACTACTTTGTCATACACAGAATGTACATTCAATTTGATGCTAGTACATGCAAAATATAGGCACAGTGGGAAGAGATTACATAATTTTTAAAAATTAAATTTTTAATTTCGCCTAAAGAAGATCTACTGAAGGTATTTTGAGCATTAAAGGCCAATTGAAGGTCATATGGGTATAGAAGAACTTCGGTCTTCAGAAGACCTCAGAAAAGTCTACTATGTATTCTAAATACAGAAGACTTATGGAAGGTCTTTTATGTATAGAATACCTATAGAAGGGTTTCTATGGTGTTTTATATATAGAAGACCTATAGATGGTATTTTAGGTATAGAAGACCTATAGAAGGTCTTCTATGTATGGAAGACCTATAGAAGGTCCTATATGTATAGAAGACCTATGGAAGGTCTTCTAGGTAAAGAAGACCTATAGAAGATCTTCTATGTATAAAATACCTATAGAAGGTCTTCTATGTATAGAATACCTATAGAAGGTAATTCAGGTATAGAAGACATATAGAAGGTATTTTATGTATGCAAGACCTATAGAAGGTGTTATAGGTATAGAAGACCAATAGAAGGTCTTCTATGTATAGAAGACCTATAGAAAGTCTTCTATGTATAGAAGAGCTATGGAAGGTCTTCTTTGTATAAAAGACCTATAGAATTAAAAAAATAAAAATTAAATTAAAAAAAAATAAAAGACTAAATAACAATTTCCAATTACATCAGATAATAGTAGTAGGTCTAAAGAAGTTGTATTGAAGGCATTTTTTTGTCCTTAAGACCTAAAGAAGGTCATATATGCATTAAAGGCCTATAGAAGTACTTCAATGTTTGGAAGACCTCCGTCAAGTCTACCGTGTACAAAAGACATTTCGAAGACACTCTATGTACAGAAGACCTATAGAATGTATATACAGGCCATTAGAAGGTTAAAAAGGTATGCACAGAAGACTTAAATTCTATTCTTCTTCAATGGATAGAAGACCTATAGAAGGTTTTCTATTTGTAGAAGATCAATAGAAGGTCTTCTATGTAAAGAAGACCTATAAAAGTTATAGGTATAGAAGACCTATAGAAGGTCTTATATGTATAGAAGACCTATAGAAGGTATTGTATGTATAGGAGACCTATAGAAGGTCCTACATGTATAGAAGACCTATGGAAGGCCTTCTATGTAAAGAAGACCTATGGAAGGTCTTCTAGGAAAAGAAGACCTATGGAAGGTCTTCTTGGTAAAGAAGACCTATGGAAGGTCTTCTTGGTAAAGAAGACCTATAGAAGATCTTCTATGTATAGAATACCTATAGAAGGTCTTCTATGTATAGAATACCTATAGAAGGTAATTCAGGTATAGAAGACATATAGAAGGTCTTTTATGTATGCAAGACCTATAGATGGTCTTCTACGAATAGAAGACCTATAGAGGTTCTTCTATATATAGAAGACTTATATATAAGGTCTACTATGTATAGAAGACCTATATATAGATGGTCTTTTACGAATAGAAGACCTATAGAGGTTCTTCTATATATAGAAGACTTATATATAAGGTCTACTATGTATAGAAGACCTATATAAATCCTAGGCATAGAAGGTCTTCTAAAATAGAAGACCTATAGGTCCTAGAAGACCTATATTACCATGCAGAAGGTATTTTAGGATTAGAATACCTATAGAGTGACATAAATGTACAGAAAACTATAGAAGGTCCTCTTTGCATTAGCAGCCTCTTAAAATCCCCATTTTTATAGAAGACCTCTAAATAGTCTTCCGTCTTATAGAAAGTCTATTGAAGATCACGTGTGTATATCAGAAATTCTGGAGCCTTATATCGAAATAAGTATTTAGAAAATTACAATATTTCCTGTTTTTGGAGGGTGATCCATTTCGGTAGGTTGAAGGTCTTCCCACAGAAGTGGCTATAATTTCGCATTCCGGATTCCGACAGGGTGTGAAATATATTTGGAAAAAATTATTAACATAGGTTCATGTTTTGACATAGCCATTAAGGCCCGCCCCCTATTATATTTTTAATGTCTTGACCACAATTACCCATCGAAGTGACTTAAATTCGGCATTCCGAATGGGCCACATATAAAGATCCAGCAACATATAGAAAATCTGTACAAGGTGTATAGAAGGCCTGAAGAAGGTATTTTAAGATTAGAATACCATAGGTCATAGGTGTACAGAAAACCTATAGAAGGTCCTCTGTGCATTAATAGCTGTTAAAAATCCTTATTTCCATAGAAGACCTCTAAATAATCTTCCGACAAATTTTCGGTAGATTGAAGGTCTTCCCACAGAAGTGGCTATAATTTGATATTCCGGATTCCGACAGGGTGGAAAATATATTTGCAGAAAATTATTATACTAGGTTCATGTTTTGACTTAAAAATGAAGGTCCTGCCCCTTATTATATTTTTAATGTCTTGACCACAATTAGCCATCAAAGTGGCTGTAATTCGTCATTCCGGACCTATTTTACTAAATACGCCACATATAAAGATCCAGCAACATTTTTGGTATTTCTAAGGACTTAGGCGCAAATTTCCCCGAGTTGACTGTAATTTGACATTCCGGGTTCCTGGAGGGTAAAAATATCTATGCAGAAAATTCTGTATATTGGCCCATGTTTGAACATAGCTTCCATATAAGGGTCCAACCCCATTCTATGTTTTCTATTTCGTGTTTTTGGAGGGTTAAAACATGTTTGCAAAAATGTTGGATGTAGGACCCAGTTTGGACATAGCCCCCTAATAAAGGTCTCGCCCCGTTTTCGGTATTTTTAAGATTATGCTGCAATTTTCCACTGAAATGGCAGTATCTTTGTAATCCGCGTTTTTGAAGAGTGAAAAACATATTTTCATCTTTATAGGCCCATGTTTTGACAATAACATACTATGTTAGCCCCGGTCTAGGTTTAGACATATCTCCGCCATTTTTTCGACATTTTTGAGGTCTTGGCCACAATTTTCTACCGAAGTGGCTGCTTTTTTAATGCTGATACATGGTGGGTGAAAACATCTTTGCCGAAATTTGTTATATAAGTCCCTTTTTTGTCATAGTCCCTATCTAAGGGTCCCACCTGATTGTAGATATTCGTCTCCCCTCATCCCACTGTGCATTACCTATATAAACATCATTTTTCTTATCAACATCATCATATTTCATCCGTAACATTGTCATTGTTTTTCTTTTGGTTTTTGTTAGACTTTCTCGATAACTTTGAGACACTTAAGCAGAATCTAAGTTTTCCCACACAAACTGATATGGCCGGATCAACAAGGGCATTGGTACGCCTGCAGGAGACATATAAATTGGATGTAGAACAAGTGGCCAGTGGTATATTAAATGGAAATAAATATGGGTATGTAAAACATTATACAAGCAGAGGCACACACACCCAAATATACATAACATATAACAATCATTTGCGAACATGTGTTTAATGAACAAACATTATTATTATTTCTTTGCTTTTTTGGTATTTATTTTGATATGTAATGAAATTCATTACAAAAACAACAGCTCTTCCATGACATGGCAAGATTGTTATGCGGTTGGTGAATATCTATATGCTATGCGAGATTATAATCACACCATACCATGGTTTAAACAGACCACAAAAATATTACAAGCCGATACGATACTAACCGAAAATGATGGTCTGCTGGATTTTATGGAAAATTTAGTGGAATATTATCGTACAATGGGTAAGGTATATTATTATACGAAGGGTTGTAATGTAATGTAATATTGAATTTTGTGTGTGGGTTTTATTTGTAGGTGAATATGAATCAGCCTTGGATCTACTGGATTATATATTGGAACGAAATCCTCAACGTGAACATGCTTTGGAAAAGAAATTGCAATTGGAAAATGAAATGAAAACTGTTGCTAGTGATAGCAAACTTTCCAAAGAACCTGTGGTTGAGAATCTGTATTATTTAAGTAAAATATATTCATTCTTGATGAAAATTGTCTTATAGGATTTAAGGTTGTATATTAGGCTAACTATGGCATACTTCCACAATATTTGGATGCATTTCGATTAAATTTATTTAATCTAGATTATAAAATTGTAATAAAATTGCATAAAATATATAAAATCCTACACAATGTGTTCTATAGGAGGACAACTGTATGATTATTTCCTTGTACAAAATACCTACATTTGAACATATACATGACTTTATACAAGTGAGGTGACATTTTGTGAGAAACCTTTCTAGATATATGTTTCAAATATATCGCGGGTTAAATTTAGCAATTTGTAGCAACACCTGATAAAGTATTGATATTCCTCAATAAATAAAATTCTATGTCGATTTAGGGAGTCTATCGAGTGTATTGATAAACTACATGGTAAGAAACAATTTAGACCCAGCATTCGAAGACAGGCGGGGATTAGGGTTAGGTATCCGGAAGAGTAGAGGAAAACAAAAACCCAAAAAAAAGAGTAGGCCGAAGTCAAGGCTGACTGTCAAGAGAATTCATCGACTAAGATAGGGAAAGCTGGCTCTAACATTAAGAAGACAAACGCTGTATCGGAATCTTCCGTAAATATCTGTAATTCCAAAAGGACTAACATGACGTGTTAAAAGGAGCCATCAGAAGACGATATAGGCACAACGGCACAATGATTATTTTAATTATTATTTGGTGTCCAATTAATATGAAATCAGTCGACAATTTATTCTAGGCTCAATATGAAACACCGTGCGGAATTTCGTGTCAATCTGACAAATATGAGCAGTTTGGTGCATTATTTACCTAAAATAGGACGATATGGAAGCTATATCTTAGTCTGAAACGATTTCTACAATATTTAACACTGGTTTTTTCACAGTCAATTCAATTCTATATGTAAAAAAAATTATATCAACCGGATACAATTTAGAAGTTTGGTACATCATTTACCCACCGATTTCTACGAAATTTAACACAAGTTATTCCGCACTCAATTCAGTACGATATGCATAATGTAGACCTAATCGGATAAACTTTGGGAGTTTGATGTACCATTAACTAAGTCTGAACCGACTTCTATACAATTTATTTCATAGTCAATTAAAAACGATATGCAAAAATTATCCTCAATCGGATAAAATTTAAGCGTTAGCATCGGATGAATATATATGGGAGCTATATCTAAATCTGAACCTTTTTTTCAATTTCTTTGTGCTTTGTTTACAAGAAAACATGGACAGACGGTCGACTCAGATGATTCTATGCATATTCTCAAAAAGAACCACGTGCCTATCTCGTTTCCTTTTGCCTGTAACAAACATATACACAAAAACATAGGCAACGGTCTTCAGCTCGAAAGCATGCTCGAAGTATTTGGTCTGGTGAGGAAGTGGGGAATCTTCCACAGGGAGGAGAACAAATTAGAGATTAAACGGGATTTTTTAAATTTATTTTTCTTTACGAGGAATCCGATATGTCAAATTATAGCCACTTCAATGTGAAAATTCGGTTAAAAATTATGACCATTGACCATTGTTGGTAGGAAGCTTTGATAAAAGGATAAGAATTTTATAAATAAAATAAAAGGGAATTCAGTTGAAAAACATGCCAAAACCCCCTTATTTTTTATGTGAGCCTGAAAAATCAAATTAGAGCCTATTTAGTTAAAAATGTGCAAAAAAAAACCCTAAATTGCAAATTATGGGTGTTACAACAAAACATGGGCCAATATTGATCATATTTCTGTTGAAAAAACGTGTCTAAACCCCCCTTCTTGTATGTATCCAAAATGTTGTAAAAAGGCAATGACCCTAGTTTGGTCCTTTCCCTACTGGTTTATTATGAACGTGCACTTTGTTCACTTCGACAATTATTTAGTACCACACTTTATACATCAGCAAAAAAAAAATATCTTTATTTTTTTCAGAAAACCAAAGAATTTAAATCATTCGAAGCAGTGTGTCGTGGTGAATTTGACAACATCTACAACCCGGAGCGAAAGAATCTCTTTTGCAAATATTTTACCAACAATCATCCATATCGCCTGCTACAACCATACAAGGTAGAACAACTGTCGCTCGATCCATATGTCATACAAGTTTACGACGTACTCAGCGATCAACAAATTAAAACTATTAAAAATATTGCAAAACCTCATATGGATAGATCAAAAGTATTTAATTGAAATACGGATGAACATGAAGTCTCTGAGACGAGAACAAGTCACACAGCATGGCTTAAATACTATACAGATAAAGTATTGGAAAATATGTTGCAGCATGTTAGTGACATTTCGGGTTTGGATTACAGCAATGCTGAAGATATGCAAATTGTCAATTACGGTTTGGGTGGTCACTACGGGCCACATTTTGATTTTTTCACGGTAAATAATAAAATAATTAAATTTTAAAAAGAAAACATAAAATTTGTTAA